CTTTGTTTCTTTCTGTGCTTTCAGTGAACCTGCATTTAAAACTGCTCTGTCTTCCCCAAGCCTGTGACAGCCAAATCAGTTTATGACAAGTCAGTTCCAACTCCTGACCATCCCATCAGTGTCAAGAGCAGAACTGGGCTCCACAGGCAGCTCAGTGGCTGCATTTGTTTTGGGTTGGTTTGAAGGTTCCCCCCCAGAAGTAGAGCACCAGGGTTTTCAGTGTACTGGATGGACTAGAACTTCTAACCTTTGGGTTAGCAGCAGAGCATTTGCACGCTAAGGGGAGATTCCTCTTTGTAGATCTCCTGTATGGCCCACACAGATATGTCTTCTTGCTTAAAAAAAGTTTGGTGTTAACACCAGCCACCATATCTGTATTGTCCAAAGGAACACTCAGCAAAGGCAAGATGCATTTTCACACACATCTTCTTTTCCATTCTTCTTCCTTCTTTTTTTTTTTTAAATTATTTTGTGTGTGTGTACCATCAAATTGGATCTGACTGGTACAGGAGGAGATTGTCCCTCCTTCTTCAGCAGAGCATCTGGTGGATTTGAACCACATGCCTCTGGGCTTGCACTGCAGTGCAGCTTTTTGCCACTAGGCCACCAGAGCTTGCCCCTTCTTCCTTCTTGAGGCAGGGAGCTGTGAGTGACACAGACGCTGGACTCAGGTGACTCACAGGAGGGGTGGAGGCAAGAGTTAGTGGGGGATACTGAGCAGGAATTCCTCATTTCAAGGACTGGCTCTATTCCTTTAGGCTTATGCATAAAATATTTCTCATCTAAGAAACATGCAAACAAGCCACCCAACAAAATCCTTGGAGTAAAGAGTACGTTTTCTATGTGGAAAGAAGAAGAAAGAGTGAACATAGACATGAACCTTTTCTTAGAACCAAGGCAAGAACTTCCACAGAAATTGTTACCAAACATGTGTAAGAGAAGCTCAAGGCTTTCTGGCAGTGTGCTGCATGGCATGTGGTGCAGTTAACCAAAAGCTAGCAGTTCAAGGCCAAGGGAAAAAAGGGTCAGTCTCCACTAGCAAAGATTTACTGACTCAGAAACAAGACTGAAGGCTGCTCTGAGCTGGAATGAACTCAGAAGTGGGTTAGGGTCCTTCTTCCTTTTGAAGTGAGAATATATGCTTTTCTATCATTTGTAAAAGGCAATGTATAAAATGGTATAAATGAAACCCTTTCTTTCAACTGAGTAGAACGTTAATACTGATTCCCTTCGCTGAGATCAACATACTGTTGAGAAACTCACATACCTCCAACCTGATGACTCTTTCCTCCAAGAATCCAAACTAGGGTCCTCTACAGTATCTAGGTTTTCATCTCCTTTTCTTTTCAGGACGTTAACTGTAATATTTTAAGGTTCTGGGCAAAGCCCAAGGTCACCTTCAATTTCCTTCCTACTCTTGATGATAGGGATAAATCTTCTCCTCCTTCCTGTCTGCCCACAACACGAGCATAGCCAACCATAGCCAATTCCCAGAGGGCCCCCACAACTGAAGGTCATAGAGAGGCTTCTGTGCTTCCCTTGATTTCTCCTGGGGTCTTGATGCAATGCAGCTGGGACAAAAAAATCACGACTCATGTAGAGAAATCTTTTGATGTCATCTCCCCAGAAGGACTTTTTTCAGTCAGCTGACAGGCTGAGAGGACAAGAGACACTGTATCCATCGGTGAAATGTCTTAACTGACAGAGAAGGATAGTCACCTGTATGTTTCAATCACTATAACTAAAGATTGAGATAAGAACATCAGATGGAAAATGAAATATAGCGTTTCTTTTTCTCTGGTGCAATTTGATTATGGCACATCTTGAGGCTTTCGGTCAAAAATCAATGTGGAAATTGAAGCCGAGAGCCAGATATAACATGTGCAGCTCATTTCCGATATTTAGGCTCCCAAGGGAAAGGAGTATATCTCAGCTTTTATAAACTGCCCTGTGATTTCTGGTTAGCTCCCACATGCTATTTTTATAAGACACAATGTAGCATCCTGATAGCTCCATTTGTTAAGTGTTGGGCTGCTATTTCAAAGTTGATTGGTTTGAATCCTCTGTTTGCACAGTAGGATGATGGTATTTTCAGCCCCCATAACGATTCCAGTCTTGGAAACTATGAGGCAGTTGCGTTTAATTCAATTGGAAAGGGGTTTTGGGTTTCAATGTTGAGTTCAAGGTTAAATGGGAACCCGTGTGTGGGGGGGGCTCTGGCTGTGTGGTGTCCGTGGAGCTGTACTGCCGAGGCAAAGTCCAGGCCATTCTGCTCTGGCCATCTGAGTTCAACAGTGCTTCCGTGGGCAGTCTTCTTCCAGTTACAGGGTACAGCCTCAGGAACCCAGTGCAGAGTCTGCTAGGAGTCTGTTCCAGCTCAGTGGAAATGAGAAACGGAGGTAGTGATGAAATAGAGAAACATTTGCCATCTCACTATGCTTTCTATGGACAATTCAGTGGCTTTAATTATGCTGATGTTGTGCATCCCTCGGCACCATCCATCGTCCATTTCCAACGTTCTCTCAGTGACCTCCCAACTGTCTTGTCTTCTCGTTGCTCCTGATAAACTTTGCTCTACCTTTGCCCATTCTAGACATTTCATATAAGTGAGATCATACAATGCGT